TATGATTAATAAAAAGAATATAAAAACATCTGTTTACAATTAAATAAATTTTTTAATAATTCTTAATTATTTACTTGTTCATAATAATTATTAATTAATAATAATTGATAATATAATAATAAATTTATTAATTAATTTAATAATAATTTGTAATTATAGATAAATTATACAATAGAACCATTATATTTTATTAAGACATTGCATTACATATTTGATATTCACAGTTTTTCCAAAATGTATATTTCCACCTTGTATAAATTCTTATGCCAGATATTCTAACCCTCACTCTAGCTCACTAGACGCAGTGATTCACATCCATGTAATATTTGGGCGTTCCAAAATCCATCAAGAAAAAAAGTGTCGCAACCTAAATGACCACGACTGTACAATAATACAGTTGATAATAATGATACAGATAATAACAACAAGTCTGATGATACTAAAAGTAGAAAAAATGATCTTTGTATGCTTGCATTAAAAATGATTTCTTCACTACATTCAGATGCTACTTTATCTCGAATACAAATTAATCGTATAACGCGTTTATTTCATTTATTTCTTAATACAAGCTACGTAAATAATTTAAAAATATATATATCTCTTATAGAGTCATCAAATTCAAACTATATAATTGAAAAATTTGATATATTACAAAATGTTTTTAGTACTGTTGACAGTGAATACAAACGAAACAAATTATTAACCAATCTTGGATATTATTTTGGACCTGCACGAGTATTTTTTGGAACTATAAAAGTAAAAAGTGGGAATGTCCTAAAAACTGTTAATGTGTACGGACAATTAATACCATTAAAAGAAGTATTGAAAACATTTTTTGAATTATCGGATGTACTTGAAAGAACTTACAAGTACTGTTACGTGTAAGCATTTCTTATAGCAAGGAATGCTTAACGTTTTTCTATTGTTATCACCGACAGGCGACAGACAGGCGCCTACGAGCACAATCCTGCACAAACATGTCTCCTGATAACCCGTACGGTCGTGTCCAAAGGGCGCTCGAGCACGTCCGGGCCGCCACCGCCGAGTCGGGCGGGCCCCGTTCCCGGGGACTCTCCAATGGGAGAGTCGGATTTATAGATCCGACGTCTCCTGCGGAAGTCCTCGGGATCGGTGCCTGCACACTCGATACTCACTCGATAGTCACTCTCATCGCCGTCAAGTACGATATCCGACGCGATTTAAGAGTGAAACCCCATAACTGTCCTAGCGCGACTCAGGGCGAAGTTTCGCCCCTAGGCATCTGTCGCAATAGGACGCATTATAACGGTACGACTCAGGGCCATCCGTGCCCCTAGGCATTGTCGTAAAACTCGCGATATTCCATTGAGTCAAGTGTATTGCAATTATTAATAAACTATCAGTGTATCAAACGAAACAACGTGTGTGGATCCTAACCCATCCCGCCGACACAATCCAAGTACATTACAACATTGAAAGAAGATAAAGAAAATGAAATTTGTAATATTGTACAAACTTGTTTTTAGAAATCAAAAATTTCAAATAATGAATCAATAACTTTTCCTTTGCTCTTGTATGAAAACCCTTTCAAAACAGCAAATCAACTTAGATCGCATGCGGGTATATACAAGTTAAGCGGAATGTACATCTCAATACTAGTGAAGGCTAAACCTCGATAGTGCTATCGAATACTATCGATAATTTTTACTATCGAATATTATCGAGAATTACAGAGAACTATCGATATTTTACTATCCACAACGGCCGCTGCCGGCGCTGCCG